AAATGTTTCGAAAATTCCAGACCTCAATTCGTCTTCCGAACAGATATTTTCCGAAAATTGACGTTGAATGCCCTGTACAGTTGCATCGTGTAGCATGCAGTAATTTTGTGCTTCAATCCACAATGTTATGGCCAAAACAGCTCTTGAATTGATTGCTACCGTTTTTTGGAAATTTCTAGCGTAGATATATGACCATAATCCTACCTCAAATTTGGCGTCATCACATGATTTGCCATGCTCGTTATTTTGTTGCTACTTGGGCAGCTGCTTGGGGTTTTTAGTCTCTTGACAACAACATTGGTGCGTTGGATCATGAGGCAAAATTTAAAGCAGCACCTGATGAGGACGTCATATATTCGTCCTTTCGTCATAGGTCGCATAGTACGTTGTTAACCTCAGTCTTAACAATCTTATAAAGACGTCTTTCTTAAAAGTGTGCACTTCCGACCTGCAATGAAGTTCTTATCGATAAAAACGTGCAATGGAGTAAATTTTATTGCGGTAGTTTTAATGCTTTCGCAATCCGAATTCCCAAATGAGCGTCCCTAGATTCATCTATTGAATCATCCATTGTTCCTGGTAATTTTGTTTTGTTTCCAACTAAGTTCTTATGTTCCTGTTGCGAATACAAATTTTAACTTTTCAGCATTCTCGAATGGTGGAGCTATAGCTCGTTTTGTACTTTTTCTCAAAGCGTCTTCTATTTTGTCTAGCTAAAGATAGTATATCTTATCACAACATTGAGTTTTTTGGTGAAACATAAACTAATTGCCAAGTCTTTTGATATTGAAACAATAAATTAGGCGTACACTGCAAAAATAGAGGCGTCGTGTGTGTATGGATTAACATATTTGATGATGGTGATATACTTTATTTAGCTTTAGCTATATTTTTGCACTCATCGTTTTGCCATCTCCGTCCGCAAATAGCAAGAGCTCATCTAACAGCTACAGCATGTACCGTAAGGGAACTTACTTAGCTTACAACAACTACGTCAAACAGGACGGACCCTGTAAGAAAATTTTGTGTTTATACACAGATAAAAGGTATGACTACATTGTTCGATTAAGCTCCGCCTACTTGTGTGACCAGAATAATGTAATCTCGCTTCAACGTGAACTACTTTCAGTACTATGGTACCGGACGATTCGATTGTTAAAAAGTGCCGAGATGTGTTCCAGGTACGTAAAAGAAGTTGGCATCGATTCTGTTCTGGCGCTTGAGGATGTCGCTGCTCCCATTTTAACTTCGCTTGTGGAAAAATATGGCTCGTTCGCTTTCCGCGACCCCCCCTTGTTGACTATCAACAAGTACTACACCCGAAAGCTTCTGGATTCCAACCCTGTGCCTTACTGCCATATCGATTTGAACGGTCATCTAGAAAGTGCCACCTTCGAAAACATGCTAAACGAGGTGGGTGTCCCTGCGATTCTAAAGCCGGCTTGTGGAACTGGGTCAGTATTAATACAGAAAATTAACAGTTTTGATGATTTGCTCCATGCAATCGAGAGTAGCAAGAAACACTACAGTTCCGTAATAGGCAGCCATGCTCCTTTGTCCTTCAAATAGGTATCCCTTGGCTTTGACCGATGGATTGATGATCCTGGAGAAATATGTAGATGGAGAGATCATAGAGTTGGTTGGGTGAGTATTTTAGACAAGGGAACTGTACAATGATGCTACAGTGTGTGGATAGAAACAGTTTTATCAGATGAAAAAAGTTAGGTCTAAGTCAGTGAGTAGTTTCAAAAAAATGTTTTTTCTCCGTAGAGGCCAGTTCAAATTGTTCTCCTTTTCCTTAACCCAATTCTGACTCCACTAACACGAGATATCCAATGTGAGAACCTTTATTTAGGATGCATCAGTCATTGTTATAAAATATAGAAAAGGAAAACTTGCAAACCAAAACGAAAACGATCAGAAGGACTGAGCTGACGTAGAAGAGGGTCTTAATGGGGTTAACCGATAGGCTTAAAATGGCCAAAAATGATTTAGTCGATAGCCGTAAAAATTGAAATATTTTAACCGTTAGCCGTAAATAGGGTAAAAAAGAGTTAATCGTAAAAGAAATTGTTCCCTAGATTTGTTAATTTTAAGGAAGTTGCTTATCTCACTTATGGTTGCGTTATTTAATTCCCGGCTATTTTGACTCCGTACGCGCGTTAGGCCAAGCGCCTTTTAGTTGTGACCTAGACCTAGACTCCATTTCCGCCGCTCTTTCGGGGAACTAAATTTTTCCATAGCGAAAATCTGGCTTCTTGCTGGGGATTAAAATTTGCGATTTTCAGCAGGTCGTGCCCTCGAAATACTGGTGAGACAACACCTAGAGATGTCACTGTTTGGAAAACACGTTGCCGATAAACAACAATTCCCTGTTTTTCTCTAACGCTAAGTTCTGTTTGGCGTTTTCCCACGCAATCTCGGTGAAGGCATTTCGGTGGCGTATCTGAGAAAAAAAAACTCGCTCCGACCACGTGACCCGACACGCATTAGCCGCGCGGAATAATGAGGCCTATGGACAAGGCAGCGGCAGACAGTCTTTCAGTACATTCCTTCGCTGTCATTAAAAACACTAGACACTGACGGGAATTGTGTTATTGGCCGTTTTTAAACTATAGTTAGAGATGGATTATCCGTCTGAGACTGGTATGGCTTGTTCACAGTCGCCCCCTCACCCACAGACACCCCATCTCCGATTTTTTCTGAAGGGAGGGGGCGGCTGTACACAGGCTATCTGAAACGGATAATCCATCTTCAAACTGTCGGTCAAAATTGACGGATAAAGTCAGGCGGATCGTTCATTCAAAATTAGGACGTATTACCTATCTGACACAAATTATCAAATGGATAACCCACCTCACACACGAATTTTCGTCTCTAGTGTGAAAACGGCCATTTCTGTTATGATGAATGTCCTTCCCCCCTGCCTTGAGTTGGGCGTTCGGGTGTCTGCTTTTGCTTTTTCACAAAGATTATTTTTAAATTGAGTATTGACATTTCTATGCGTAAAATAACATTAAAAATGGAATACTTTATAAATCGGTATGATCTATCAAATGTTAAAAATTTTCAAGAGAATAACTTCAATTTATCCCGAGATGATCCTAAGACCTTCATTTTGCTTTGAAGGTACAAAAAATACCGGTTTTTTAATATTTAACTCTTTCAAAAAAAGAAATCCATTTTTAACTTTTTAGTTAACCGTAACTGAAAAAAATTAACCGATAGCCGTAAAAGAGCCAAAATTTTAGTCTTGTAAGAGAAATGTCAATCAGGCATGAGGCCTGTCCCTTCCCCCCTTAATATGTGCCCCTCTTCCCTCAACTTTGGTATTTAGAGAAAAAAGAGGTTCAGCATAACATTTGTGGCATTTATCACCTAACATTCTTTTATTTGTTGAAAATGTAGGTATATTACTTATGATTATTTTGAATTAAGCAAATAATAATTTACTATTCATGCAATCAACATATAAATTACCATGTGACACATTTTGAATGTCTGTGGTAAAGGAACTATTTACAAAATTGATTATGCCTTTATTGACATTTTGCTTTTTTGATAAAAAAACTTAATAGGGCCATTTATACGAGGAAAAATAAGACGCGTCTTAAATAAGACGCGAACTTTCCGTATAAACGGCACATTTCGTCTAAAATAAGACGCGGCTTAGCTAAGACTTGTCTTATTAGATAAGATATGCTCGTATAAATGGTACAGTTCGCGTCTTATGTAAGACGCGTCTTATTTTTCCTCGTATAAATGGCCCTAATGATAATATTATAAATGACTATGTGGTTTTATATGGGGTAGTGAAGAAGCGAGCCCTTCAATTTAGTCCTGCATTATTATGCAAAGTTAAAAATAAGTGCAGTATTTATGTAGTAGGCATTTTGTTTTTGGCACTAAATTGCCCCTGCTAATAAGGAAAACTGAATAATCTCCAACTCTAATACTACCAAACCTTAATTCCACTGATTTTTGACAAGGCAAGTAAAAATGTAGACCATAAGTAGACGTTTAGACATGAGTGTGAATAAATCTCTGAACTTTCTTTTTAAAGTATCAAAAAAGAGATAATGGTATGAGTTTCTAAGCAATTTCATATTTTTCAGCGTATCAAAGCTTAATTTTTATTTGAGCTGCTATTATGTACTACATGTTTGTGTAAAATAATGTAAATTGCAATAATTATCCACTCATTGCAAGACAAAATAAATAAATGTACAATGAGAATAGGTATTATCTTGATTTTGCACAGGAAGCCTAAACTCACTACGTATTAAGCACTTGGTAATACATCTAATAACATGAACAACATAACAATCTGTAGGGTTAAAATGGTACTCTTGCAGCCTGTACCTTATTGTGGAGAAAAGGAACAGAATAAACATGCTTATGCTATTATTTGTGTTCTTGTGTCTTTTTGAACACAATGAATTTTAGTCATTATTACCAAGCACTCACCTGGTGAGTTTGGGGTGCCTGTGGATTTTGTGAGCCAGGTGAGGCTCTGGAGTCCACCTTGTTTACAAAGTTATTAAGGCACCAGTGGGCGGATCTAGTATTTTGATAGGAGGACGTTCACCTTCAAGTTTAAAGTTGAAATTCAGGTTAATTAAAGAAATAGGGGAGGAGAGAGGTGTGGGGGCCCGGGAGAAGAGGAGGTGGGAGAAGTATAAGAGACGGGAGAGGAAAGGGTGCAAGGTGGAAGTTCTAAAAAGGTGGTAACTGGGAGAAATAGGGGGAAGATAACATAACAGTGCTAAATATTTTACAATCAAGAAAAGGCTAAAGGTAAGAAGCCTAAAAAGGGGATGGGAGCCCCGAATACAAGGTACGGGAGGTAGGAGGTTTGGACTCCCTTCAAAGAACAGTTTTCTGGGGTAAGAGGAGGAATAAATAAGGGGTGGTGGGGAACCCAAGAACCCTCTCTCCCTAGATCCGCTCCTGGTCACCTGGGCAATTAAAACAACCTTCATGTGGTATTTTTTTAATTTTCAGAGAGCGGTGTTTATTTCATCTGCACTATCAGCACCTTTATTGACTATGCCTAAGTGTCTTATCTCAGTATGCTTCTCATCGGATTGTTGAATCTTTGATTCATCGATGTGTGCAGGGTTAACAATTTCTGGCTCGTCCATGTGGTCAAAATTAACCGTGTCTGATTCATCGATGTGAGCAGGTTTAACAATTTCTGGTTCATCCGAATGCTCAAAAGTAACCTTGTCTTGCTTCTTCGAGTAGTCACTTGTAACGTTGCCTGGCTCATTCTCGTTGATGGGGTTTGAAGAGTCTTTAGGCTCCACCTTTCCCAGCTCATTTGTCTCTTGAAATTCTTCACTGTCTTTTGGTTTAACTCGGCGTAGACAACGCCCACAATGCGCGAACAGACGAGCAATGCTGAGCTGTCCAAAATCATTCTTTGGACCAATCACATTACAGATGGCTAAGAAACTGAAGGTGGAATAAAGCCAGCTGAACACCATGACTAACATCAGGAACTGACCAAGCTGCAAGTACACTAAAACTGTTGTAGGCATCAGCATCAGTCCTAAAAAATACGATTAACTGGTTTTCAGTTGAATGACAAGAAAATTCCTTTCCTTGTTACCAGGCCTTGCATTGTCACGTTTGGTACTGCCTAAAAATATATCATGTTAAGTTACCAAACAAACAAAAGAAATAAATTGACGCACTTGGCGATAGCCGATATGCATCGTTTGATTGTAAAAAGGGTAAAGGTGTAAATTTTATTTGTTCACCAACTTAGAAACTTTAAAGAACAACCTCTTCCGCGGAACTATGCCATTAAAACATGGGAGGAGCTGGGAAAGGGGTCTTTTTCCGCCTTCCCAATTTTCAAAGCGAAAAGCCTTGGGGACGAGGTTGTCTACAGAACACGTTTACGCGTGTTAGTGCGTCTGCGTTCCAGATCGCATTTTAATCAGTGGGGAGCGTTAGTTTTTGATGGTAGGATAAACTAGAGTTAAAGGAAAACCCCCCACGGCATCCCCTGCGGGTTAAGAACCCGGGTCGATCCTGGCCACCAATGCCCCGAAACTGTTCTCTTTGTAAACCTTGTCTCGGCAATTACTTTTATCTCCATTCTGCACTAGAAAATAACGTCTCAGTCCCAATAAAGAGTCACATTGAGAATATTTGAGGAATGAATAGAGAAAATCATGAACTAAGGAGTAAAACACTTACCTGTTAGAAACGTTGTAAGTGCTGCCATCGTGATCGCTGATCCAATGTGAGCCAGTGAGTAACGTACCCTGCTTTCTTTTTGGCTTTTGTCTGGTGCCAGTCTGTAAGCCACACCATAATGCATGGTAAAGTCAATTGACAGTCCAACAGCTACTGACATGATAATTGATTCTAATATGTTAAGTTGCCAGCCAGCTAATACAAGAGATCCAATGGTGATCGCAATAATTCCAATAATTGTGACGATGGCATAGATGCTGATAAAGATGTTGAGTGTTGTGAGCAACATGATGCTGAATGATGCGGCCACCGAAATACCCAGGGATGAATAGGTGCCACGCGAGAGGCCAATTTGAAGACCATAAAATCGGAATCCCCAACTACTCGCCCAGCCGTTTTTCAGACCAGGAGGGGCATTAGACAACTGACCTTCAAACCAAGATGTCACTTCGTCATAGACTTTGTCTATGACCGAAAAGGCTGTTGTAAAAGGTTGGTTGGTGGAAATGACCAGTCTGAAACCCTTAATTGCTTTGCTCTTTGCATCAAACAGTAAGCCTGATTCATTACCTCGCGATGCAAATTCAAGAAGACATCTCTCGGTGACATCAGCTGGAAATGGAAAGCTGTAGTTTCCGCAACATGGGTTTGGACCAGCTTTACATAAGGCAATTAAAGCCTCAATCGGGCACTCCACAGTGCCCGCAGCAAATGCACCAAAAAATGATTGCTTTTCAGCAGACTTACAGACCGAAAGAATGAACTTTTGTCCTTCTTCGGAAAAGAGGTCGGCACTGAATGATTCATCAAATTCCAACGTTCCTTTGTCATCTGGGTTAAAGTAGTTGCCGTTATCTACAGGTTTAATTCCCCATATCAGCTCTACAACCATGCTTCCGCTCTGCTCGAACCTAAAGAAACTCTTATAGTTTAAATTGTAGTTTTCTAGCATATGAGAAGAGGCAAATGTTTGCAACTCATCACTTTCTGGCAACTGAAGTCCGGGTTTGTAAAAGGTAACGCATAAAAAGCCAGTGGTTAGACCGATGAGCAAGGCTATCCAAATCCAATAAAACCTGATGACCACGAATGGTAACCAACGACCAAAAAACTTGGAACTGAATGTTTGGACCGCACTTTTGGCTGAAACTGCGAGGGAGCAAGGGAAATCAAAAACTTGTAGAATGCAGGTGTTTGGGTGTTTTTTAACATCATCAGCTGTCTTGTGGTTGCTCGCCGCGTTTCTTTGCTCAATCATGTCTTGGGCCACTGGCATTGCCACTTCCTCAACAGGCACCTCTGTTGATGGTTGAGATTCCAAGCTCTGACCATCGTTATACTTCATGATCCACTTCTCATGTAGGGCCACACATGCCGGAAAATATGTGATCATCAGAAGGTAGTTTGTCAAGATGGATGTGCCAGCAAATATACCAAAACACTTAATGGCGGTGATTGTGGAAGATATCCCGGCGAAAAATGCTGATGAAGTTGTCAAACTTGTAACCAGCATAGAGAGAGCAGAATAGCGTAACGTTTTAAGTGTCAACTGCATTATGTTCGCGTCAGGGTTTGCAGCTCTTGACTGTCTCCATATGTCATAGTACACAAACGCATCGTCTGCTCCAATTCCCACCAAGAATACCAGAGTTAGAATATTAAGGAAAGGGAAAAAATCCATACGGAATACAAAGTTGTAGAGAAAATAAGAAAGACCACCTGCGTAAATTACACAAGACAGGCCACAAAATGTAAGTATAAATGATCCAAGGAATGTCCACATCACGCCAAAGACAACGATCAAAGCCAGAGCTGGGAAGATGATCTCCACGAAAAGCTCGTCACTGAATTTCTTGTACTTGTATCTCCAAAACCTGAAGGTCACCAATTCTACTCCTTGACTTACATGTGTGTCATCCTTTAGTCTATCGTACATCTCATCATAAAAAGCGTTCAGTTCATAAGCCACAGGAAGAATGGAGAGAGTGTATTTCAGAAAATCATTGTCTGGTGTATTCATGAACTCGTTGTCTACAAGATACTGAAACATATTGTACACCGCAGAGTGTTTGATGCATTGGGCAGGCACAGATGGGCAGTTGGAGCTCACAGTTTCATTTCTAGAGAAATCTGGGTACTTACAGTCAGGCTTCAGAGTCTGCTTCAGAAAATAAGTCGAACAGTTCCTCATCAAGATTTTCACCTTCGAGACATCATCATCTGTTATCATCTGACACGAAGTACGGTTGTTTAGTAACGCGACGTAATTTCCAAGGTTCCAGCTGGAATAACACTGTGTTGTAGACCCATCGTTAAATTTATAACAGTATGTTGTAAATGATGGGCTTGAACGCACAATTTTATTGTCCATGGTACACATGGTTTTTAGTTTCGGTGCATCAAACAAGTTCTCTTTTGGATCTAAAACTTTAAAGACAAACACCATAGACTCAGAAACGAAATCATAGAAAGGCGGTTGTAGTGAGCCCTGTAGTTGCTGCACTGAGCGTCGTTTGCGCTTTGCTTGTGCTTGACCCGTTTCATTTCCGACTTGTGTAGACAATGACGTCCGCAAGGGCGATGAGATGTTTAGAGCTTTAACGAAATTCTCATAAGTTGAAATCTCGTTACTCAGTTCTGTACCTCTGGGTTCAAATCCCTAGAAGAACATAAAGCCACATTATTAAAAACACATTGCATACCAAAGTATGCGTAACAAAAGTGCCAGGCTGGGTAATTTGCTTATCGCTACGAGTATGAATTTGAACCCTGCGGACAGGCGCAAAGAGGAAGAGAAAGAGAGGAGAAGGTCCCTGCACGCGTGCAACAAAGAAAATCGGAGACAAAACTAACACTGGCAATATCGCAAAGGTTGGTAGTGTGTGCTTCCTTGCTGTTTTAACTTGAAATAGGAACTGTCATTCTCCTTCCCAGAGCCACTCGGCCTTATTTGTAACGAAGACCACGTGACTTCAAAATCGTTTTTGTTTAAGCTCCCTTATATCTTCTTTTCACCACAATTTAATGCCAGTAACCTAATAATGGCTTAATTACTAGTAATAACAAAAGGTTAGGGAACGTCGTCGAGATCGATCGAAGGACAAAACGCTCTTGCCCCAAAGGCACACGCTTTGGTTTGCGAACGTTTCACTTGATAGGACGCCGTAACGCGCTCCTGGTCTGATTGCGTTCTATGCATTCCATTCATTCTGACGAATGCTACCTATACACATGACGCTCATGCGTAATAGCAATTTGAAGATTAGGATTGCTCCTTCCTAGAGCCACTCGGCCTTATTTGTAACGAAGACCACGTGACTTCAAAAACGTTTTTGTTTAAGGTCCCTTATATCTTCTTTTGACCACAGTTTAATGCCGGTAACCTAATAATGGCTTAATTACTAGTAATAACAAAAGGTTAGGGAACGCCTTCGAGATCGATCGAAGGACAACAACCCTCTTGCCCCAACGGTAGACGCTTTGCTTTGCGAACGTTTCACGTAACGGAACGTCGTAAAGCGCTTGGTAAGATTGCGTTTTATGCATTCCATTCATTCCAACTTGGAGATTAGGATTGCAGGCTCCTCTGGTCTCCCGAAATTAAAGTTACTTACTTTAGTGGGATCTTGAAAGTCAGGTAATGGAGGTGCTCCCAATGCCGGTAGAACGGACACCATTGTAAGGACTATACAAGTCACTGGAATTAATATTGCCAGGCACAGAGCAATAAAATCATGTCTGGTAAACCTAATTGGAAAATAAAATTCCTTAATATTGGAATGATACGCAGAGCTGCTGGGAGAACTGATATTGTCCCTGTATCGCCTTGTCCCGCCAAGAAAAGATTTTGTTTTGGCCATGAACAAATACTTCACTGACAAAGTTTGTTCGCCCACATGGCTGAATATTGACCTCGTTCTGTTTTTGCGGTTTGAAAACACTCAAAAAGAGAACTTGGCCAATATGGATCTATCTTTCCCTCACGCTCAGTTAATAATGTATTGGAAAAAAGAATGTTATATGACAACCTTCACAAGGGTCTTAAGTCTACGACTTGAAATTGCATCTTTCCGTTGTTGTTCATCATGTAGTTCTTATAATTAAGGGCCATAAGGCCCGGAACATACGTCAAAATTTCACAGGTGACGAACCTAACCTAAAATGAGCAAAATATATTGTTCTTCGATCGTTTATTAGCATTAGGTGGGGACTTAAGTTTGCCAGAGGTTTGACGTTTGACCTTGGACTAAGAGCGAGCGCAATACATTATTTACCTTAACACAGGTGTATACATATCAGTCGCAAGAGTTAATCATACGCCTTACTGCACACTCAAAAAGCGCCAAATAAGAAATATTAATTAGTCATGCAAATAAGAGAGAGCGCAATACATTATTTACCTTAACACAGGTGTATATATATCAGTCGCAAGAGTTAATCATACGCCTTACAGCACACTCAAAAAGCGCCAAAAAAGAAATATTAATTAGTCATGCAAATAACGTTTCGATTTTTGATAATCTTGAAAACAGTTTCGCAGATAAGTATAATACTTTAGTTCTGACATAAGTTGAGTTGAGAGAATTAAGTTGAAAGGATGTAAATTGGAAACTCTTTGAAGATGTTTTCGTCTTCATTCTTTCTGAATGTAGTGAGTGTGCCTAATTTATTCCAATTTAGCCTTTTTCAGTTGCCTTTTTACATTCTTTTCTCTGACAACGTTATTGCAATTAATAAACTGTCTATCGACCCTTCGATCGATTTATAAGCATCGTATCTCCCCCACTTTCAGCTTAAATAGTAATTTATCCAAAAACATGATAAGTTTTTGTTTCGCTGGATCTTAGCACAGTAGATGCTCCCTCAATAAATTAAAACTATCATGTGTATATCGCGAAGCACTCAAGCCTTTCTGAATAATATTAATAAATCAACCGAGGCCCGAAGCAGGGCCACGCTCCTCTCACTGTACTCTGCTTCCAGTTAGAAAGCGTTCTACTTCTTCCATGTAATTCATCGTTTATAAAAGGAGACTCTGGTGAATTAATTCTTGGAAAGTTGCAAAACACTTAACATATTTTTAAACAACATTTCCGGTCAAGTACTATGTAATGACGCCACTCAGGGGAAACCATGTAAGCGTCTTCTTTCCACGCGCAAAGCGCAAAGTACAGTCAAAGCCCGCCTTACGGACAGCCGCTTAATACGGACACCTCATAATTAAGGACATTTTGTTTTGTCCCTGGGGAAAGAAAGCCCGGCCTTAGACTTTCTCTTAATTCGACCCGCTTAATACGGATACGGACACTTTCTATGGCCGCCTCAGTGTCCGTATGAACAGGGTTTGACTAAAGCCTGCAGAACAGGTGTACTTTTTTCGCGTTTTTGGGCGAACTAACCACGAAGCGGGTGTGCAGTGCGAGACACGCGCCTCTGGGCCTTTCCCCTTCGCTCGCATTATATTAAAAACGAAAAAAACAAGGCGTGTTCTGCAGGCTATGCACAAAGAAACAGAACGTAGAGCTCCTACATAATATTCCAAAAACTTTTTCAACTCTGATCATTGCCCTTATTTTTATGTCAGCATCACTGACTGAGAAACTGCCAATTTCCAACAAAAGATAAAAGAATTTTCTTGTATTCTTTAAGAATAAAGAGACCCAGGTACTACATCAATTGAAGTCCTGTATGTTAATGTGACTCATGGTCAGCCTTTCGTATGTTTGCGTGCTCTCTCTCTTTTGACTTGGCGCATTGTTCTTCAATATCTATTGTACTTCAACTCCTTATATTGCTCAACCTTTTACACTTTCATTGTTTTTACAGCACTTGTATTCTGTGGTTGTTGCTTATAATTATATTGTCACTTCAAATGATGATGAAAGAGGAAGTCTTTGGCTTGAGCCAACTAACATAAAATATCGCACGTTTTGTCAACTTCCCATGTTTAGAAACATCAGTCATTCGTTCTGCTTACAAGACTCATTTGCCGGCAACGCTTTTGAAAGCTAAATACGCTTCATAAACTTTTCGGATCTTTAAACTGACTATTTTGAGGGTAGAAGACTCAGAAACTTATTGTTAGAGAACAATCTTATGCCCAAAATTTACCGATTGCTTTTTCCTATAAACTTGAATAACCAAAACGACATTTTCCTTAGTCGAAAAAAAGGCACTCAATTTCCCCATGTTACAAATTATACTGAGTTACGGAAAACTGAGCGCTCATTTTATTCGAATAACTACGAACTTTAAAGGTGGGTTTTGGTGTTGGTTCTGATCACAACAAAACCGCTATCTGAAAACGTGAATTACTGCTCCGCAAAGAAAGGCAGATCAATCGTTCAACAGTACTCATGAACATAGTACCTTTGCATGCATTTATTTCTGAGAGCTTACATTCGGCTCTTAACAGCACAGATTAGCGCCTTAGCCGTACCTGTATACTGATTTTCAAACACAAATAACCTGTTCTTTCGTTGTTTAAATTCGTAATGTTGGCTCTGTAAAGCTACAGTCGGGGGCACCCAACGAGACTGGATAGTTCAAAAACACTTAAACATTGCATTGTTAAACGTATTTTGTATTTAAACGGTAGATATAGGCATATTTTTATCCCCTAAAAATTTTTCATCTGTTTGGATTTCTTAGCCAAAGTCTAGTCTAGTCTTAACTTTTCGAAAATTTCAGCCAGAAAAAAAGTTCCCGAAAATTCTAGGTGACCTTTTTAGGGTAAAAATCGGTTAAAAATGGGCAATTATACCATTTTTTAGATGTTCGAAAATCCCAGGAGAGGCAGGCAAGCAAGAAATGTTACAACAAATGTTTCGAAAACTCTAGATCTCAAATCGTCTTCCGAACAGATATTTACCGAAAATTGACGTTGGGTGCCCCTGTACAGTTACATCGTGTAGCATGCAGTAATTTTATGCTTCAATCCACAATGTTATGGTCAAAACAGTTCTTGCTTGATTGCTACCGTTTTTTTGAAATTTCTAGCGTAGATATATGACCATAATCCTACCTCAAATTTGGCGTGCAACTTGTCCTCACATGATTTGCCATGCTCGTTATTTTGTTGCTACTTGGGCAGCTGCTTGGGGTTTTTAGTCTCTGTTGACAACAGCACTGGTGCGTTGGATCATGAGGCAAAATTAAAAGCAGCACCTGATGAAGACGTCATATATTCGTCCATTCGTCATAGATTGCTTATTGCAATAATAATAACGTGATATCGCCCACGAACGTGTTTCACTGATCTGAATAACAAAAGAGAATTATTAAGTTAAAAAGACTGACCCGATTTTGGGGCGATTTCGAGATATCAAAAATCATACTTGGCAACGCGACTTAAGAGAATGAATAACACAAACGAATATCCGACAATTCCCAAAAAGTGCACAGCCTCTTGCTGAATTTCCGAAAATCGTTTACCGCAAATTTCCATTTCGGTCAAATTTGTTAACGGAATTCATTTTCGCTTGAATGACTAGCTTGCGAAACTGCAGTGGATTTTTCTGATTTTTGGATTTTCAGGGATAATTTACCCATGAAATTTCCTCGTCATTCGCTCTCATTTTGAAATTTCCGTAAATTTCAGTCGACTCCCATCCGTAATATAACCGCCGTGCCGATATATAACTTACTAATAAAAGTACCCAAGCCCGGACCACACACGAAACTTAATAATAGAAGGCAGATAGAAACCCTTACCGGCTTAATCAGTAAAATATTGAAGATTCGTTCCGTTTTCTTCTTTAATTATTATTATATTATAAGTAATATTATTACTTATATTGAGGTATTTGGTAGCCTGCGTATGCTAGGTAATTGTGGGAATCTATCCAGGTCACGTTTTAGTGGAGACCAGTGACGTACATGATTTCAGGGATCTAATGAGTAATCACATAACGAGCTCCTACATTACCGTACTCTCAGGGGAGTGTAGCTAAATGTCGTGGGTCGTGGGTTGTGGGTAGAGGTCGTGGGTCGTGGGTGTGGGTCGTGGGTGTGGGTCGTGGGTGTGGGTCGTGGGTCGTGGGTCGTGGGTGTGGGTAAATGTCGTGGGTAAAAAAATGTCGTCCAAAAAAATAAAAATTAAAAAGCAAAAAGTTGTAAAATTCATGAAACGAAAATCTCCGAGTACAAACCAGTCCTATTCCCCTTCCCCTCGGTCAGCAAAACAAATAAGCGAATCCTCTAGTACAAACGGGCACTAAAAAGGCATTTGGGTGAAAAATAAAAGAAACTCTGTACACTATGTAGACCTGGAGCAGGCTAGAGAAAAACTGGAGACTGAACTGCTCTTTCTCAAAGATGTCAACATTCGTGACTGAAAAGTCCTTTCAGTTTAAGGAATGATTTGGGACAGCTCTGACTCGCTAAATGGAAATGGCTGCTCACTATTCATCTTTATTCGATCTACAACTCCAATGATCAGCGGAGATTTTTTAACACGATGGAATGCGATCACCGTGAGAAAGGGGAGGGAAAAAGGGCAATTTTGAGGTAATTCATATTTTTGGATAGAATTCTTTCTTAAAGATGTCTTAGGTCTCTTACCCTACGAAGGAAACACTTTCATTCCCAACATTTCGAGTTAAGGCGAGACTATATGTAAATTTTATTGCCGTACGGAAATAAAATTTTCGAGATTCTTTTTTTGTTTTGTGTACAAAATCTTTGCTGTAACAATTCGAAAAATCATTCCTTAAACTGAAAGGACTTTTCAGTCACGAATGTTGACATCTTTGAGAAAGAGCAATTCAGT